TGAATATATTTATTTTAAAAAACACTTAATTCACCATAATAACATATAATTTTAAAATTAACCAAGGAAATACGGATACTCGGCGCGAGTGGTCAGGTAGAATTTCTTACCAAGAGTGCTACTCTTAGACGATTTAGACAATACAGCTGGCTCGCCAATTATGGGATGTATGTCGTTTGAAAACATGTTGAAATAATCAAACATGTTACGATTGCACTGGCCCTTAGTGGCCACGTATCTTTTATAGTCGGAGCACTCGCTGGACACACCCTTTGGGTTTTCCGGGTTAATACTGGCCACGAATAAGTCAATGGCCCGGAAGTGATTGCATGACTCCTTCTGGAATTGATCTATAACCAAGAGTATTTATTTAAAAGTTAATTAATTATTATTTATCTAGTAGTTATCATGATTAATACCTTTATCGCCCGCTTTGGGTGGCTCGTCAACAACGCAACCAGGTTGGTTTGTGTTGCCACCATCGGGGTAAAAGTCAATTTGGCCGGAGTTTTCGTGTATTCCCAGCCCAATGGTTGGGATTGCGTTCGTGTGTATAGCGTCCACGAATTGAGCCTGTTGGTAAATTATTTTTATAAGTAAATTATAAATGTTATAAAATATTCATTTATTTTCTACATACGTCCGTTGCGCTGAGTTTCTCAGTTGTGGGTTTGCCATCAAATGTCGGACCTTATTAAATATACATGATTATTTTGAAAAATTAGTTTAGTCATTTAAGTTTGCATACCTGCTGGGTCTAATCCAGAAATACGTCCCAATCGCCCACCAAATTTTTTGCCAGTTAAACCGGACACGTGTGCGCCTAATGAATGGCCCACAATATGCACCTTGCTCAATGATAATCCCGACTCACTCTGATGTTAGTAAAATAAATTTAAGTTAAATGCAATTAATATATTATTATGCTTGTTATTTGCATAAATATAATTATTTTACTTGTAACTTTCTAATTAATGTTGCGATGGCCGTTGCCACAGTAGGCAAATTTGTCCTTGTCTATATAATAATGTGATTTAGTTACAGAATATACTAATTAAATTTAAAAAACCATAATACATATAAATAAGGTAAACGTAATTATACCTGTACATATGAGGGTATAATATTGCCTTCACTCCAGTCGACAATAAACACATTATAGTCGCCGGCATTTAAATACTCGTCTTTCATGGTCTGCCACGACTGGCCCTTATCGGGTGCCACGCCATAGCCGTGCACCAAGATCTTGGTAACCCGGGATGCGTCAAAATTGTCCACGCTGCCTTCGCCCGATGGTTCTTCTATCACCTCGGCGTCACCAGGGTTGTTTCTGGTGTACAAATTGAACTTGGTGGTAAATTGTTGGGCAGTTAGTGGTGGTTGCGATTGCCCGGCAACAGTGCCTAGTACAATAAATAATAGAGTAATAACTTTAAGCATGATTTAAATTTATAATATTGTTGTGCTGGATTAATTTTATAATTCTCTGGTATTTATATGTTTTTATCAGAAGGGTTATGTTATTAAAACATATTTTTATTCTGATGATTAATTTAAAATGCTCATATTCGCGTTTATTTAGACATTTATTAATTACTTTTATTAATATCGATTTATGATTAATTAATGCTTACAACATTTTAAATTTTATAATTATTACCTTGAACAAAATAAAACAAATTGCAAAATTTATTTCTAGAATAATATCTACAAATCTGAAAATTAATTGTCTGTTATGTAATTAATGATATACATTAAATTGAAAACAAAATGTGTTAGATGATTTAGAGTATAAGTGCAGTAAAGTAAATTAATTACAACATATGCACATTAAATCTATGGGCATACAGTGGTTGAAATTATATGTTTAACAAGTAATAATGTAAATTAAAAATATGCAGTTATAATAATACATTTTAAAGGCCAAGTTGCATAATCGTATAACAATATTTATTTACTACAACTCGCATAATTGATGGCCATTTTTTGGACCTACACTTCAAACTAATTTACTCATTATTTTAGCAAAATTTATTTGTTACATTGTATTTATAAACAAAAAAATTAATAAAATTTGTCTAATTTAAAATACAATTTAATAGTAATGATATTGATTTGCTTGTTTAAAAGTAACCCTGAAAATACAAATAGCTGGGGTTAGTGGACAGGTTATAAACCAGGATACATAAGCTCCTATTATATGTACTTTGCTTGATACTATACCTTTTACATTCTTTAACAAGTGTAATAAAATTATGATAATTAATTAAATATATTATAAAGTGGCTTGGTGCAAATTATTGATGCACCTACATATAAAACCTTGATAACGTTTGTGGTAACTTGCGCTAAGATAAATGTATTTATTGTAATATTAAATGTAAACGTGTGCCTGGTTAATTTACTGATATTTAAAAATTATTAATATACTAAAATTACTTTGTTACTATATTTTTCGAACAAGAGTTGTGCAAATATTTGATGAATAATTATAAAATATTGATCATGTAATTAATTATAATGTAGATGCTAAAAATATTTATAATTAATTGTTAAACTAAAATATACGTAAATATTTTAAAACAATTTATTAATTTTGTCCTTGACTTACTATAAAATATAATTATAACATTGATATGTATAATAGTTTTGTAGAATTTATGGATTATAAAATATAATTTTAATTAACTATAATATATAATAATGATAATAAATACAATGATTATGAAAAATTTACAACTTATAATTAACTTTTAAAATATGGATAGGAGGGGTTAGTGGTCAAGTAATATCTTTTACCCACAGTATTGTTTTTATAAGGTGCGGACAATATGGCCTGTTCGCCGATAATAGCACAGTTGGCCACACTATCAGCACAGTTAGCATCGCAATCACCGGCCAGGTATGAGTCATAGTCCCGGCACTGGATGGCCACACCATTAGGGTTGTTGAGATTAATGCTGGCCACGTAAAAATCAACTGCCCGAACGTGATTGCATGTTAGACCAGCCCCGAAACCTAGTCATATTAAGATAATTATGATAGTTTAATCAAGATAGTTAATTGATATAGCAATAATTTGGTATACCATTCATTGTGCTAAAAAACCCAGTCACCCAGCTCATTGAACAGCCCGGGTGATTATGGCCGTTGTTTGGCCAAAAGTCCAGGTGCCCGCAGTTTTCAATTACACCAGCGCCTAAATATTGAAGAGCATCTGTGTGAATGACGTCCACAAATAGCGCCTGGTTGAAAATGTTCATTTATTAAGTGTCTAGGTTTTTAATTCTACGCACATTTGTTGGGTTGAGTTTGTCCGCCGCTGGCATATCATTAAACCCAGGCCCTATTTACATGGGTGATTTAATAATAATAATAATTATTAAGTACATTATTGTTTTATTTGTGACAAAATAAACTAATTAATCAAGATTGTTTAAATGTAATACCAGCTGGATCTAGGCCGGTTATGCGCCCTATCTGACCATTAAATGCATGGCCAATAAATCCGGCTGTATGTGCTCCCAATGAATGCCCAATTATATGTACTTTGCTTAGTGATAGTCCCTTTACATGCTGAAATAAATCACAAGGGTATAGAATAATGTTGATTAAATAAATAATTTTATCCAGATTAGTTTAATAAAATTATGTTATTTTTTACCTGTAAATCTTTGATAAAGTTTGTGGTAGCCTGCGCAGCCGTACGTGTATTTGCATGTGCCTGATATAATTAATAAAAAAAATAAAATGTGACAACTTCCTATTGTTGAATAGTACACAAATATACCTGATAATAGTCACTGGCATTACCGTCGCTCCAGTCAACAAAAACTACATTACAATCAGCGACATGCATAAATTCATCACGCATCGAGTTGGACCAGGCGCATTTATCGTGATCACCTAGATAGCCATTTATAATAATTTTTGTGAGCAGTGAGCCATTAAAATTTGACATAATAATATTGGCTAGGTTATTCGAATTAGGTGGGTATGTAAAAACTTGTTCGGTCAGTGGATTATGGCGGGTGTAAAGCATGAATCTAATAGGAAATTGTTGAGCACTATATAAAGCGCCTGTAAATTTACATAATCCAATAAATAGGGCTAGAATTAATAACTTTGCTATCATATTAAAATTTAATTTACTATATTATATACTATATTATATATTAAATGTAATTTTATAAGTATTTAATACAAATGCTCTTGCATATGTTTGAATTTATACGATAACTAGCTCTAAAACATTTACGTAACTAAAGATTTACTAGCTCTAAAACATAAACAGGTTTACATCATGGTGATTAATTATAATACTGCGCTCAATTTGTAAATATTTGTTTCATAACAAACTTATTGTGGAATAATTTATGAAAACTTATTAATACTGATATAATAATAGGGGGTAATTATGAGACAATTTTTGTTAAATTATAATTCATATCATTTGTTAACTTATTTATATACTTTCCATGAAAATACATTTGTTTAATGTGAATGTAACTAAAACATATATTTCTACTACAAACTACAACCACTCATATTTGAACATGATTTTTTTATAGAATTACAGGTAAAATAATGTCATTTTATACGGCATATACTGTAAATATGTGAACACCAATTAATCTGAAATAAAATACTCTGTTATAACATATAAATGTTTGGTAGATTAAAATACTCTACAAAGTGAAAATGATAAAAATAATAATTTTAACAACAAATTTTATGCACAATTAATGAATTAGAATTTATTTAAAGTAAAACAACCATAATACAACAAATACATTGTTATGCAAGTTAATAACGAAATCTTAATTATTATTAAAATAGGGATAAGTGGCGCCAGTAGTCAAGTAGTATTTATTACCAGGTGAGTTCTTGGTATAAGCACTGGTTATTATAGCGGGTTCGCCAATAAACGCATAGTTAAGACCGCTGGCACTCCTACTATACGAACACCTGCCCGACCTGAACGTGAGATAATCGGTGCACTGATAGGCCACGCCCTTAGGGTTGGCATTGCTAATGCTGGCCGTAAACAGTTCTATCGATCTGGCTGTGTTGCATCTACCCGGTCCGTATATATCTAATTAAAAAGTACATGGCATGTTTAAATAGTTAGCAAAAATAAATAAATTATAAACTAGCTTATTTACCGCTGGGTTGATTGTTAGGACATCCAGGTTGGTCAGTACCGTCATTGGGGAAAAAGTCAACATGGCCTAAAGTCTCGATAGTACCCATGCCCGTTATTGGGCACGAGTCGGTGTGAATTACATCCACAAATTGAGCCTGGTTAACAAAAATTTAGTTGTTTAGTAATTATTTCGCTAAATTTTTAATTATTATTTTACATTTGTATAGCTAAGTTTTCCTGGGTTGTTTGTTTGGCCATCATAACTGGGTCCTATGTTTAACACAAGTTCAATTTTATTATATGAAATAATATACTAATATAACTTAATTATTAAATCTAACCTGATGGATCTAAAGCGGAAATGCGACCAATTGTGCCATTCAATCGGGAACCGGCTATACCGGCGATGTGGGCGCCCAACGAGTGACCGATCACGTGAACGTCGCTATATTTAGTGCCAAACACAATCTGATCCAGGTAATAAAATTTGTAAAATTAAATAGATAGTTTATAATTTTAAATTATCAATATACTTTTAAGTCCTCGGTCACTTTGGCGATAACAATGCCCAACATTTTAGTATTGGCCACGGCCTATTAAAAAAAGCAAATAAATGATTTAAACAATCTAAATTATATAAAACAACAATTACTACAATGTAATAACAAAACTTTCACACTATATGTGTATAAGTACAATGTAAGCATAATAAAGTGACCAATACCTGTCCGTATGGTCGACCAGCACCGCCTGTCCAATCAATAAGTATCACGTTGTAATCACCGGCGGCCAAGTACTCATCTTTCATTTTGCGCATCCATACAGCCCACGCCGTATCGGCAAAACCATGTACAATAAACTTAGTCGGATTATTAGCGTTATAATTGGACCCTTTCCAAATGTCCATGCCACCGGCCTTGGTAATAACGTAAGCGGTCTTGTTGTTTTTTCTACTGAAAAACAAAATCTGCATGCCCATTTCATCGTCCGATTGCATGGCGTACTGAGTTGTATCATGGACAGTTGGCTGGTATGGGTTGGGCTGATACGGGCCCGACTGGTATGGGTTATACGGGTAGGATGTGGGCGGCGGCGGCGGTGGTGGGTACGGGCCGTATGAGTAGGCACTAGCGCCCAGTACTAAGCATAACACCAAGATGATAATGTTTTGAGTAAACATGTTTAATTAACAGTTTGTTTTAACTTGTTAATTCTGTGTTAACTATGTTAATGTATAACCATGTTTAGCGCGCTGGTATTTAAGTAGTTTTATTCGTGCCAAGATTAATTTGATGCAATGTACTTGATGGGATGTAGCATGGTGATTAATTATTTTGCGAAATAAAATAGTGTGATGATTATGTAATATTATGCTGATATGATGTTCAATTGCCCTTCATGGCACAAAATGTAATAGGTTTTATGTCATACACACAAGTTACAATTAATTAATTAATTGTATATCACATAAGGTATTACAGTGCAACAAGAAAACCCTTGTTTGCTAGAGCTCATATAGAATTATAACTATAAATAATAGTCAAAATAAATATTAAATAATAATTCATACTGTTTACATGATAATTTTATTATATTTTTAGTTTATTATATATAAAGTTTACTTTATACAATTTCAACAAATGCAAAAACAATTCAAATCATGTCCTGGTCATAAATAATATTTTACTCAACAAATATTTAAAATTAATAAACAAATTAAATTAAATAACAAATATAATTATAATTGCGCTATTTTATAATGAGAGTTGTATCGGATTTATACACATATCAATTATATTATGATTTATGAAATTAAATAAAAACTACTATAAATCCACAACCACTTAAACCCAAACTCCGTTAAAATTTAAATTAACATATTTGCAACATAATAAAATAAAAATTGCTATAAGCTCAATATAATTAAACTAGAATATTACTATTAACAAAAACATTTGAATATTTGAGATAAACACCAAATAGAGCATTAATAACAATGTAATAAGTCAAATATAAATATATTTATATAATTGCCCATAATAAATTTTACTATATAATTACTCTTCGCCAGCACCAGCGCCTCCACCACCGGTACCACCACCGGCGCCACCCCTACCAGCGCCGCCATATTGGTTATAAGCGCCACCAGCATTACCACGTCCATATTGGCCAGCCATGCCAGCCTGTCCGTACTGACCCGCCCCGGCTCCGTACTGTCCAGTGCCGTACTGACCCGCCCCGTATTGGCCGGTACCGTAACCATTGAGACCCTGGTTACCATAACCGTAACCGGTGCCATAGCCTGTGCCATAACCGGTGCCGTATCCGTTACCGTAATATCCTGGGTATGAACCGTACATTCGTGAGTATGAATATGAGTATGGATTATATGCAGAGTAATAATTAGTGTATGGTGAATAGTAGTATTGGGGACTAGTATAGTAAGTGCCGGTTGCCGGTAAATATTGTGCACCTCCTCCGTAACGGGCGTAGTAGTTGGACTGCCCGTATCGGCCTCTACCGTAACGGTTGTATAGATTGTTAGCGCCATATGTACCGTACGTTGCCTGTGCGTCCACTTCTTTATC